TTCCTAGAGATAATAAATGACTGGCCTTGGAGTGTAACTTTCATATACAAGCTACTCAAGCCAGAGCCTACTTTACCAGGCTCTCACACTCAGAGTCACTATTCCCTTGCCCTAATTACCCCAGGGCCAAGAATCAAGTCACTAGGGACAGTGAATATCCCCAGGGCCCACTGAAATTATTCAAACTAGCCATCCTAAACCTACTTACCCAGCTTTGCGTGTTCTTTCTCACGGAAACCACAATAGCTGCTCTTGACCACATGTCCCCTTGAGCCCTGTATCTCCTATATGGCCCTGGTGCTTCCCCCATGGCCCTGGCATGATGTGGAGTGTTTCCTACATGATGTGGAGTGCTCCCTGCATGGTGACGGTGTGGAGTGCTCCCTGCATGATGTAGAGTGCACCCTACTATTGGAAACTTCACAGTAACATGCTATCTTTTCAACAGCAATTATATCCTGATCTGTTGGCCTGAATACACCTGAATAATAAAACTTGCATTTTAAAACAGCCACTTGCATGCTCTTATATTAATAATATATCAAGTAGTAATCTTTTTTATTGCCTGACAATCAGAAAGTGAGCACAAGGCCTAAATAATGCACATAATGAATAATTAAAGTATGTATAGTCAGAAATGAATAACAATTCCCTAAATTAAGTTACACCATTATCACAGATCTTTGTTTTCTTTCTAGGAATACTTAAACATTATTCTTACATGAATAAATATGCAATATCATGAGGCCTTAGGGTGAGATAAGACTGTTTCCATTCTAAAAATCTATGCAATAATTCATCTGCCTCACCAGCTGTAGAAATCTTATTTTTATCTGACCACAATTCCAATGATGACAGCACAACAGTAACTTTAAATTGGGTGAACATCTAAAAACAGAAGAGATAAATACATGCAAAATTAATCTTTATGTTATTTTACAATAACCTAGAAATTAATTCAATGTTTTCACAATTCCACACTCAGTTTATATCAATGACTTAATTATTTATACAAAAATATATCAAGTTCATGTAAATTATAATTTCAAAACAAAGAATTGTTTTATATGATAAGAAAAATACTTACTGAATTTACAAGGCCAACAATTTCGATGACTTTATTTGTTACGATCATGCTATCAGAGCCCAAGTAATCATACTG